ATCATTGCCTTTGTCTCCAATTCTAAAGACTTAGAAGATGAATGTGACCTGGATACAAATGAAGGAATATATAAAGCTCTTGTATTACTTGAAAGATAATTCAACAAAGTGATGAATAAGATGGACTGAAAGTCAAGGTCAAACATCAAGAACAAGTCATTCGACATCAACAAAAACCAGGAGTTTGGGAGAAGGCCCAAGACTGAAGAAGAGACTAACCAAGGCAAAGAAGTTCAATGTCATGAATGTGAAGGCTTTGGACACAAAAGAGCTGAGTGTACCACTTATCTCAAGAAGAAGAAGAAAAGTTTATCTGTGTCATGGTCAGAAGGTGATTCTGAAAGTGATCATGAAGAGGAATATGCCAAACAGATTAATGCCTTGACTAGAACTTGTGATTATGATGAAGAATCATAGTGTGAAGAGCTTACCTTTGAGGAATTTTCTGCCTCCTACAAGGATCTGTGCATTAGAAGTGAAGAATTGTGTCAATAGGGAGAAGAGAAAAAGAAAATCATTGCTTAACTACAAGCTGAAAATGCTCATCTACAAGATGAAAAGGTGGAGCATGTATCTATCATCTTTGATCTGAAAGATGAAGTTGTATGGCTCAACTCAAAATTGGACAATATGATCAAATATGTCAGAATGCTCAATAGTAGTTCTGATGTGCTGGATGAGATTCTTCAATCTGGAAAGAGTGTAGGAAATGTGAACGGTCTAGGTTGTGAAGTGAAGCTTTCTCAAACTAAGGGAAAACATAAGATGTCAAAAATGTTGCATCATCCTCAAGGACATCAGAAGAATTTCTCAAGAAATAAGAATCAAAGATGGAGATGTCATTATTGTGGAAGGTTTGGCCATATAAAACCCTTCTGTTACAGACTATATGGTTATCCCAAAACTGTTCCACAACCTAGTAGAGAATAAAATGTTGTTAAAACAAAGAAGAAGTGGACTCCCAAAAATGTTGTGATTGACTCATAGCTCACACTTTTCTCAGAGCTTCTTCAAGGGAGGATTGGTAGTTTAATAATGGTTTTTCTAAGCACATGATTGGTATCTAGGAATTTTCAGTGGATATTAAATCATGTTCCACTAACTATGTCTCTTTTGAAGTTGAATCAAAAGGATAAATAAAGGGTGTTGGAAATCTGGACTATACAAGACATCTTAATCTTGATAATGTGTTATATATTAAGGGGATGACTGCTAATTTGGTAAGTATTAGTCAACTGTGTGACAAGGTCTCAAAGTCAACTTTACTACATCACAATGTCTGGCAACAAATGAGAAGAATGAAGTTATCATGAAGGGATCTAGATCAAAAGATAGTTGTTACTTGTGGATTCCTCAAGAAACAAATTACTCTTCCACTTGTTTGATGTCAAAAGAAGATAAGGCTAAATTGTGGCATCAAAAACTTGGTCACTTGCATTTGAAAGGTATGAAGAAGGTTTTGTCAAGTGAAGTTGTTAGAGGTGTTCCCAAGCTGAAGATTGATGAGGAGAGAATATGTGGCGCATGTCAAGTTGGGAAGAAAACAAGGATGTCACATAAGAAGCTCCAACATCCTACCACCACTTCCAAAGTTCTGGAGCTGCTGCACATGGACTTGATGGAACCTATGCAGGTTGACAGTTTTGGTAGAAAGAGATACGTCTGTGTGGTTGATGATGATTTTTCAAAATTTGCTGGGATGAAATTAATCAAAGAGAAATAAAATGGTATTTAAGTATTTAAGGGTTTATAGAAATTACAAATGGGGAGGAATGTAATAAATTCTTTATATTTCTCCATGTTGTTATGGTTAAAACTATCAAAGGGTGGAACAAAAGATCCCTGCAAAGGGCTATTTTAAAAAAGACATATTCTGAGGTGATGAAAAAGGAGTTCAGTGGTAACACTCCTAAAACATGTGACAAAATCAAGGAGTGCAGGAGATTATTTGACAGGGGCCAGTGGACTATACTACTACTAAGGGAAGAGTAGTTCATTGTGTTTCTGCTGCTACTTCTGGTGTAGTTGTTTGCAATATTTCTTACTTGATGTTCTAACATCTTGTCTGTGTTATAAGCTATGTGTGTTAGATTTTGTGTTCTCAATTTGTATGGATGTCTCTAAGGCCTATCACATCCTTTGTGAACCATGCAACGAATAAAGCGCAAGGAAGCTAATGATTTCTTATTTCTTTCATATATTCTCCTTGGAGTCTCATCTAAGATGTTTAGTATGAATGTTCCAGAAAAGGAAGTTGTTTTCTTTGGAGCTAATTTGGAGTTCATGGCGTGGAGAGTGTTGCTCACCACTAGATTTAGAATCAAAATGTCTTATCATGGTGGATTATAAAGTTAATCCACTGGCAAAATCTGATGTGGCTTATGGTGTGAGTATGTGTCATGATGAAGAATCCACGTGTGATAGTGGTGTGCAGAAGAAGGATATCAGATCAAATGTTCTAATCTCCGTGGTGATCAACCATTTGTGAGGAGGTAGCCTTATCTGCTGCTTGTACCTTTGAGAGAGGTTGTGAAGGAAGGAATGTGAGGAAATGTTTTTCTCCTGTGGTAGTGTATGTGCCTGATGTCAAATCCTATGTGCATAATGTCTTGCCTAACTAAAGAGGGGAGTTGCGTACCTATTTGATGTGTTGATGTAGGGTTACAATCTGAACAAAGCTTGCATGCTCTCATACAACTAGTGTTATGGTATCTCTGAAAGTTGTAGGGCTCAAAGGGGGGTTTTGTTGTTGGATGTGAGATGTCAGACATGATGTTTAGACATTGTGATCAGTTTTTTCAGTTGAGCCTAGATGAAAATAGTGAGCTTGGAATTCAGTCGAAAGCTTTGTGTTTTAGAGCATTGTGGTTCTGCTTCAATCTTTCGTGTGTTTGAAGAATTATTATAGTTACACACTAGTAGGCAGTCAAACTTTGAAAAGAGAGAAAGTAGACCAAAATAATGTCTCTTTCAGTGTATCTCTTTCACACGAAGCTGTGTTTCATCACGTGTCAAGTCTCTGTAAACGGTGATGCTAAAAAGGTCCATATGATGGTATCTAAGCCAGGAAAGAAGGTCAAGATTTCTAATGTGAAGAAGGGTGACTAAAAGGAAGAATCACATGTTACTGAAACTTCAACAAGTGTAACCTGGAAACTCTCTGTGACAAAGATGAAGATTGGGTCTCCTTCATAAACTCAGGTGTCAGTTTGAATAACTGTCTTGTTGTGGAAGTTTTAGGATCTTGGTTGCTTTTGTTTTTGTGATGTCTTAGTGACGACTTTTCTAGTTGTGTGTGTTTTGATTGGTTGTGTTTCTGGTTGTTGGTATTGTGCATTCTATGTGCTAATGTTATTGGGGTTGTGTGGTTAGGTGTTACCTTTGTCATATTATGGCTAAAAAGGGGAAGTGATTGTGTGTGATCTAACCATTATTCATTAAAGAGGAGAATTTGTTAGTACTTGTCAAGTTTTGAGGGGGAGTCCATGTTCTGAACTAGACTGCTTTGAAGGTTTGTCAGACATGATGCCCTGACATGTTGAGAATTTGGTATTCTCTTGTTTGTCGTGTTGAGTAGCTTTCACTAGCTGTTGTTCTAATATTTGCTATATTGACTTTTGTTGTTGTGTCTCTGATTGTTTGTGTGTTTGAGTTTCTTCTCAAACCTGGGCTGTATTACTGGTTATGTGTGGAAGATGTACTAAGTTGTTTTAGCCAAAATAAGGCAAAGAAGGAGATTGTTAATTCTCTATTTAGTTGTGATTGACATTAATGTTTGGTAAAAATAACTTAGTATAAACATGTTAAAATAATATTTTCTATTAACTGGAGCAACATGTCGAATGTGATGTCCTGTGTAGTTTCTTTCGACATCGTGATTTTGTACATATGTTTTGTTGGATATTTTAGTTTGTTACACGAGCAGAATATTCTGGAAATATTATGCTATCTTATGTGGCACTCAGTTTGAATATTAAAAAGGTTCAAGCTGAATTCAAGGAGTATTCCTAGTTTCTAATTATTGAGATGATTTAAGAAACTAATGATTGATGTCCTATCTTTGAGGAGATATTTTGCATCGCCTCTTTCATATCCAGCTGTGTATGTGAAGTTCAAATCTAGTACATTGAATGCTATAAATAGAAGGATTCAACCCTAGTAATAGTGTGGAACTTACAACATATTTTTATAGGGTTTGTGTGTTAATTGTGAACCTCTCGATTAGCATCTTGGTAAAAGAGTAAGACTTTGTTTTTGAGTTGTAAGTTCTGTCAGTCATTCCAAAGCTTTTAAGCAGTGAATGATTGTGTGTATTTGAAGTGTGACTTCTGTTATTTTCTAAGTGTTTAGAATTGTTCAATCACTGTTATGTGATTGAAAGAGATTTGAGAAGGGTCTCATACCTAGGTGAGTCTTAAAGATAGAAGTTAAGCAAGAGTAATGATTAAGTGAGAAATTGTAAACGTGAGAGTTTAACTTCAAATTGATACTATCTAGTTGATTTCGTCCTTGGCTTGGTAGTCTCCAGAGTATGTGTTGTTGTACACCGAACTGGATTAACAATCATGTGTGTTCTTTACTTTTCTCCACTATATTTATCGTTTACCTTGTTATTGTGTATTTGTTCAAAGAAAAATGTCTCGACATATCTTAGAACATCTGAAATCTGAATACTAAAATTTCAATTACATCAATTCTTTATCAACCACTAGTGGATTCAGTTTGTAATTATTCATTTGCAAATCAAATAGACCTTTAATAGCTTTGGGGTGTGTAATGGTTAGAAAAAACATGAAAATAATTTAAAAAATATTTACAAATATATTTATATTACACACCAATGAAAACATCAAACAATATAATATTTTGAACTCGAACTCTTGTAGAAACTAAATAATTATTCTAAACATATTAATATAAATGTAAAAAAAAATCCATTATAAAATGATATTATTTACTCTTTACAAGTAATCAAACTACTTATGAAGTCAAAATTAAATTTATCGACATTGTTGTTTGTGAAAATTCTTAAATGAAAGAATATTTGAGAGCATACTTTTCAACTTTTTTGATGCCAAACTAGGTTTAAGAACACCATAATTCTCAATTTTCAAACCATGACATGTTCTATACTTTCCACTTTGTGATAATGAGGAACACCAACCTCCATAAGAAAATTGTCCATGATTTCTTCTCAAAAGCTCTCTATCAATTTTATCAAGCACACTATCATTTTTCTTAAACTTTCTAGCAAATGGACGATTGCTTAAAACCATTTTCTTATAATCTTTGATTGTTAGAGACTTTGGATGTTGTTTTGGAGGATTGTCCCAAGTAATGTAGTGTAGATCACTATTAGCTGTTGTGTTTTTGTAGTGTTTAGAGTTGCATATAACTGTTTGGAAATATCCTTCTGGAGATGACACAAAATTTGTGTAGTATAGAAGTAGGGTTCTTGGCAAATTTTCCCATCCTATGATGCAATACTCAACAAATGATCTTGATAGCATTGTCCAAGCTGAACCTACATTTTTGAGAAAAATTAAGAAGTTAATGAATATTAGCTGCTAGGTAATATTCTAATTGATTATTTTGAATTTAAAAAAAAAGTAAGAAGATTAAATTTCTAACGATTATTTTCTTTTCAGGGGACACTAATAACAAGATTGTATTTTTCAAAACAATTTCGTCTTTTAAATTAGTTTTTTTTTATTTGAAACTGAATCTCTAAGTCAGAGTAACTCTAATGTTGCACGTGTTAGGCATTAATACCCTACTTCATTGTTTGACTTTGGAACTAATGGTTGTACCTTTTAGCTACAAAATATTAAATTTGGGACAAAATAAATGTAAGACCTCAAGGTAGATCTCCTATTATCAGACACATTTATTCAATCTGAATCACTATAAGATATGTGAATAAATTATTGGTCTACTCATGTAGGTAGAATTAATAGACCATGTGTGGAGGTGTCATTCAAGTATCTCGAATATTCACTTGATAGTTAATTAATGGATTTCAAGTGGAGAAGCCATGAACCGAATGATTTATTAATAGAGTAAGTAATGTCTGGTCTTATCAAGATTGTATATTATAGATTTCTCACTATAGATTTATGTTGTAACGAGCGTCATCAAGAATAAACTAAAACTATGAGAAATATTGGGTTTCTTGAACAAACACAAGAAAACCCTTTAGTATTTACAAAAGAGAGAGAAGAGGGAAGAAGAAGAAAATCAAGATTGATTATAACTGTTTTACTATTCACTTTCTCAATTAGGATTAAAAGATTACAAGTAAATAACAACAAACAATGCCCACTCAACAACTTGAGAGAACCAATCTATTTATAGACTACTAAGCTAACTTAAACCAAAAACTAACTAAAACAATTTTGGGCCAACAGACTGGCCCAATTCGACATGCTAACAACATAGCATATTCTGACACCTGTATGCTTGAATGAACTTCGAATACAACACGCAAAACTGACTGTTGTTGAACCAACCCTTGTCGAGACTAGAGTTTGATCTAATTACCAAAAATCTTCATTTTGGAACAAACTCTACAACATCAAGGGAACAAACTAGCTTTCTTCATGCAGTTTTATCAACTGCATACAATGGAAAAACTTACAACTTGGCAATGTTTTGGTGATCATATCAACAAGATTGTCTTCAGTCGAAACCTTAAGCACTTATACTTCTCCATGATCGATTGTATCTATAGCGAAATACATCCTCACATACATGTGTTTGGTTCACTCATGATATGCTGAATTCTTTGACAGGTGTATTGCACTTTGGCTGTCACATTTTAACAATGATTGCTTGACCTTGGAGTTTCAGCTCCTTAGAAAAACTTTCAAGTTACAATGCTTCTTTCACAACTTCAGTGAGGGCAACGTATTCCACTTTAGTGGTTGATAAGGCAACAACCTTCTGAAGTGTCGTTGTCGAACTGATTGATGTGTCAAACATAGTGAAAACATATCCAGAAATAGATTTTTTAGAAATCATACAACCTCCATAATCAGAGTCAACAAATCCTTCAATTTCTACCTTGCTATCATCACCACAGGCTCCACCATAATCAAAGACTCATTTATGTACCTTAGAATCTACTTCAATGCTTGTCAGTGCGCCTTTCTAGGATTGGACATATACCCGCTTACAAGGCTTATTGCATATGATATTTCTGGTCTAGTACAAACCATAACATACATCATTAATGTTGTTTCGACATCATTACTGGGATACTGAGTTATACTGAGCTTGGATTAAGGATTTTTTAGAATCATAACAGGCTTTGAATTTGACTTGTCGAGAATTTTTCACAGGTATGTATCTTAAGATAAGCTTCATCTTGACTATTTTCTATCTCTTTAGATGCCAATCCCAAGGATTATGGTGGCAGTACAAAGATCATTCATCTCGAACTCATGTATGAGTCCAGCCTTTACCCTTAATACTTCTCCGACACTGTCATTGGTTATAAGGATATCATCCACATAAAGAAACAAAATTACAAGTAAACTTTCAGGTTGAAATCTAAAGTAAACATAGCGGTCTAACTGGCTTCTAGTGAAACCTATGTGTGTCATGAACTTGTCGAATCTCCTATTTCATTGCCGAAGAGATTGTTTCAAGTCATACAAAGACCTATTCAGTTTTCACACATTATCCTCCTTACCTTTTTATTCATACCCTCCAGGTTTCTTCATTAAAATTGTTTCATCTAGATCACCATACAAGAAAACAGTCTTCACATCCATCTGTTCTATTTTTAGGTCAAAATTTTCCACCATAGAAACCAACATTCAAATGGACATGTGCTTCACAATAGGAGAGAACACATCATTGAAGTCTACTTCTTTTTTCTGAGTTAACCCCTAGCGATCAATCTTGCCTTGTATATTTTCGACATCACTCATTCGATTCCTTCCTTCACCTTGAGGATCCACTTACAACTGACTAATCTGGCCCCTATGGGTCTCTTGATCAACCCCCAAGTGTTGTTATCATTAATAGATTTCGTATCATCATCCATGTATTTCGGCCATCCAATCTTGTTTCGTCTCCTCATAACTTCCTTATAGTCTCTAGTTCTTCGTATAGAACCTCACTTGTAGAGATTAGGGCATAAGCTATGAGATATGCACAATCAAGTATTTGTAGTGGCTTAATGTCTCTTCTCGTCCAGTCTATTTACAGTGGATAGTCATCAACATTTTCCTCAATATCTTCAGCATCTTGCACTTCTTCTTCGACTTCATCTGGATTATGAAATTTAGCATCAACATGATTCACCTCGATAGGAAACTCCTCCTGTTCCAATTTCTCTTTAAAGATCTTCATACCTCGACCAACGTCATCAGTTTTCTTGAAAGCCATCTCATCTTCATAGAAAATTACATCTTGACTTGTGATACACCTCATATGACCTGGCTTTAGGCACCATAGCATATAATTTTTTACTCCTTTAGCCTATCCAAGGAACATACATCTCAGAGCTCTAGGTTTGACCTTGTCTTGCCTAATATGAGCATATATTACATAGCCAGATACTCTAAGTTTGTTGAAGTATGATGGATGACCTGACCAAACTTCTTCAGGTGTCTTCATCCTAAACCAGTCGAGGGACACCTATTTATCAAGTAACCCATAATCACGACTGCTTCAGCCCATAAAACCCTCTTTAACTCCATACTAACCAACATACACCTCACCTTTTCCATAATGGTTTAATTAAACCTTTCATCTAAACCATTTTGTTTGGGAGTGTCTGTAGTAGTTTTATGCCTTGTAATATCAAACACATCATAATAGTTGTCAAACTCTTCTTTGTAAAATTCAAGACCATTGTTAGTCATCAGCCTCTAACTTTCTTGCCTGTTTGGTTTTTGACCAGAGTCTTCCAACTTTTGAAATTTTCAAAAGTTTCATCCTTAACTTTCTGAATGAATACCCATAACTTCCGTGAGTAATCATCAACTATCGATAAAAAATATCTTGAAATTGAGTGCGAGAGATTCCTTGCAGGCCCCCAAAGACCAACATGGATATAGTTAATGGATCCATGTGTACTTTGTTTACCTTTGTTAAACTTCACCCTACAAGATTTACCAAATACACAAGGTTCACGAAACTCATGTTTTTCGACCTTGTCACCACCTAACAAATTTTGCTTTCCCAATTCGACCAGTCCCCTTTCACAGACATGTCCAAGTATCATGTGCCATAACTCATTCTTTGACACAAGTTTTTTGGATGCTACATATGTTGAACGACTTACAACCTCAACCTCAAGGGTATACATGCCTTTCCTTTTGATGCCTCTCAAGACTTCCTTCAACCCCTTCATTACCCTTAAAATAATTTGTTCTCCTTTGAAAATGTATCATTTCTTGTCGAATTCACCAACAGAAATTTATCTTAAGATTAGGTACATTCTTGATACCAGTCAACAACTTTATTGACTCATTGTGAAGCTTGGATCTGACATATCCAATTTTTGCAATTTTGTCAGCTTTGTTATTTCCTAGCAACACTGATCCACTATCTTGATCACATAATTTCTCAAACATATCTTTGTTTGGAGTCATGTGTCAAGTGAAAGATGAATTCATAATCCATTCCTTGCAATAATTTCCTCTAGACACCACTAATACATCAGATGATTCATAATCATCTTGAACAATGATTGCATTTCCATTGTCCTTTCCATCGCCATAACTCTTCAACCTGGCAGGACAGAATTTTCTTGTATGACCTTCCTTCTTACATTGGTAACAACTAATAGAAGGAGCATCACCAATATAATACTTCTGTGGACCTTTAACCTCATTCTTCTCAAACTTACCATCCTCCTTTTATAATTTTCATTTTACGAACAATCCTTCACCAAATAATGATTCCTTGTGCTCCTTTATTTTATTCAAATCCTTCGAGTACAAGGATGATTGGAATTATTCAAAGGTCATAGACTCTCTTACATACAAGATGATTTATTTGAAGTGAGTATGATATCTTGGTAAAGCACACAACAACAACAACGCTTGATCTTCACCACCGATGGTAACATTAATATTTTCCAAATCAAAAATCAGCTTATTGAACATATCAAGTTGTGCATATTAGGAAGCTTTGCAATGGATATGATATTGCTTCTCTCAACGACTCTCTTATGCAAGAAGTATTCTCTAATGTCTCTTTGGTGGTTCTCTATAAAAGCTTTTGAAGACTTAGAGAAAAAACACAACATTTCACCTTAACAAAACAAAGAGAAATTACTCTGTCAAATCAAAGAGCACAAAATTAACTTAAGATTTCTTAACTCTTGTATATTCTAGAAAAATCCTAAGTCTTAGAGTCTGTTTGTTTTGTATTATGTATACATTTATGATTCTATATTAAGTGTAGTTTATCAAGTCTTTTAACTATTTGTTATAGAGTTAGAAGTCTATTGCTTATATTCTTGAGCATTTGGAAGTCTCTTGCTTCTGTTCTCGAGCATTTGAAAGTCTCTTACTTGTGCACTCGAGCATTTGAAAGTTTATTGCTTGTGTGCTTGAGCATTAAAGTCTCTTGCATGTGTGCTTGAGTAATTAGAAGTATCTTACTTGTGTGCTTAAGCATTAACGTCTCTTGTTTGTGTGCTTAATCATTTGGAAGTCTCTTGCTTGTATGTTTGAGCATTGAAGTCTCTTGCCCGTGTACTTGAGCAATTAGAGGTATCTTACTTGTGTGCTTGAGCATTAAAGTCTATTGCTTGTGTGTTTGAACATAGTAAGCTTCTTGCTTGTTTGCTTGAGCAATTTGTAATCGGATTTGATTATAGCGGAAATCTCTTAGAAGTGTAAAGAGACCGAACTACTCATGACTTGTAGGAGGAATCAGGACAATTTCTTGTGTGTTTTCTTACTCTCTTTTTTATTTCTGATCAATTTTATTCTGATGTTAATCATCTCACTCTAATCAAATTTTGAACATTATGATCCGAATCTAACAAGAGCTTTTATAAAGAAAAAGAAAAAAAATTAACACAATTCAATCTCCTTATTATATTTTTCTCACCTTCAATGATATTCCTGTATATTTCAATAGATTTATAATTAGGAATAGCCTTATACAAGCATGAAATGGGGATTAGGAGTTGGTTAGGACTTTGATTAGTAGTTTGTTAATTAATAGACTAATGTAGTAAAGCTATGATCTTGATATGTGATGGGCATTTAAATAAATTTTATATTAAAATTGATCAATATTGTACCATGAGTACTCTGATTACTAATAAAAGTAATTTAAAATGGTTAAAACATTTCAGTTAAATCAAAATTAATCTGAAAAGTTTGAGTTTAACCTACAATTTAAAAAAAATTACAAATTAATAAAACACTTTTTCCTAAGAACTAAAGGGTATATTTGGAAAAATGAGTTACTAACAAATTAATAAAACATTTTTTCCTAAGAACTAAAGGGTATATTTGGAAAAATGAGTTACTAACTATCACATGAAGTAAAGTTTCTAGTGCAATGAAATTTTATTGTAACACTTATTTATTTATCTAAATTATATAATATTTGGAAGTCTCTTGCTTGTATGTTTGAGCATTGAAGTCTCTTGCCTGTGTACTTGAGCAATTAGAGGTATATTGTTTGTGTGCTTGGGCATTAACGTCTATTATTTATGTGTTTGAGCATTGAAAGTCTCTTTCTCGTGTGCTTGAGCAATTTGTAATCAGATTTGGTTATAGTGAAAATCTCTTAGATATGTAAAGAGACATGACTACACCTGATTTGTAGAAGGAATCATGATAATTCCTTGTGTACTTTCTTACTCTCTTTTTTATTTTTGATCAACTTTATTCTGATGTTAATCATCACACTCTAATCAAATTTTGAACATTGTGAACAGAATCTAACAAGAGCTTTTATAGAGAAAAAGAGAGAAAAAAAGTTAACACAATTCAACCCATTATTGTGTTTTTCTCACTTTCAATAACATTCTCATACATTTCGATAGATTTATAGTTAGGAATGGACTTATACAAGCATGAAATGAGGATTAGAAGTTGGTTAGGGCTTTGATTAATAATTTGTTAATTAATAGACTAATATAGTAAAGCTATGATCTTGATATGTGATAAGCATTTAAACATGAGCTAATAGAGTGTGACTCATTTTCACAATCTATGTCTATGTTTTCTCTCAACTTTTCCATGATGATGAGAGGTATGAAGATAGGTTAATATATGACTAATTCCTAAATCACCTTGATCTTTGTTCAAAGATATGAACTCTCCCCAAAGTCATATTGAATACCCTTAACCCATCAAATTTTTGTTTAAAAAATAAATTCAAATATATCGTGTTTGAACATCAACAAAAATTATGTAGTAATTATAATCAAAACTCGATGTAAAAAGGGGAAAGTCCCAAAAAAAGGATAGACATGCATATTGATGCTCATTTGCATGTTATTTCAGTATAAATCTTAATTATATATTAATAAATTAAAATGTTGGCATTAAAAAAAAAATTAACTCGACAAATAATACTAAATACCTCGAGGTTAATATACTCATGTTTAACCAATAAAAGGATTAATCAGATCTAAAACATATTTTGTTATGAACATTACTCATGTTTAATGATTAAAATACAAATGCATATGAAACAAAATAGCATAATTTAAATATTAAAGAAAAAAGAAACAGCACCTGTGTAGAGTTTAAAAGCTGTTGGAAGACTCCTCTGCTTTGTAACCTGCCAAATCTCTGATTTCTTTTTGCTATAAAGGGCTGGATCTATAAATATTGGCTTCCCTCTCTTATTGCTGAAAATATTTATTAATTTTTTTTTAATTTTTAAAATCATGTATAAAGTTTAAAAAAATCCATTATATTGATTTTAAAAAAAATGAACAATATCACTTACAATTTCCAACCCAAATGACTGCTATGGTGAATGAAATTAATATCCTTTGGAACCCCAGAAAAGCCTTGTATCAGATCTGAAAATTGAAAAAATATATATAATTAATTTACATAAAACAATCACCATGTCAATATATTTTTTATTTAAAAAAATTAATTTTTTTTTCCAATTATTATATAAACTTTTTTTAAAATTTATTGTTTTATCGAGATATAAATCAAATATATTAATTATTTAATAAATTAAAAAAATAATTTTTGTTTATAACAATAAAGAAGAAAATTAATTAAAAGTGAATAAAAAGATATATTAGTTATTTGATAAATTAAAAAAAAAAATTTTTTTGTTTGTAATATTAACAGAAGAAAAAATAATTAAAATTGAATAATCCAATTAATATTATAATTAAAGGGCACTCACCATACCATCTTGTGTTACCAAAGGATAATCAGAAGCACTAAGATTAATAAACCAATCCCATTGACAAGTCCTAAGAAGAATAGCCATTGCATGAAGAGTAGTAGAAAGCATAGTTGGACCTTTATATGTAACAAAATTGCTTTTTTTCACAATCCAAACATTTCCAACTTCACCAAAAAGACCTTCATTACTCACATATTCAAACAAATCTCTATGATCTTTCTTTGGTGCACCATGATCCATATGAATTAGATAATAGTTTCCTGGATGATACAAAGCCTTCAACAATCTTTTGATCTTCATTGAATCTCCTTTTGAGCCTGAAATTAAGTATGCAAAAGTGATTGGATATGTTTTGTTTGTGTTTGAGATGTTGAAGTTTTGGATTGTTGGATTTTGAGGGAAAAAGTTTGAGGTAATTGGTGTGGTTAATTTTTTGGTTGGAATGTAAAGAACAAAGAAGAAGAATGTTGAGATTAGGATAGAGGAAATAATGAAAATTTTGATGCCCATTTTTGGAAATAATTTGTGAAGAAATTAAGTTTGGGAATGGAAGAGAAATGAGAAGAAAATGTGAGTTTTGAAGAGGGAAGAAAATGGCTTAATAAATTTTGAAGTGTGTTGTTTACATTTTAGTTTTGGATTCTTTTCTTTTATAACAAGCCTATCAATGTGTAAACAAATTATGACTTTACCTTTTTTTTTTATAATATTGTTTTAAATAATTTATTTTATAATTATAATTTTATTATCTAAAAATCAATCAAAAATAAAATGTACCAAATTAAATTTGATTGAATTATTTTATAAGTATTATATAAAACAAAATACATCTGATTTATTTTTGGATCAAATAAATTTTATATTAAAATTGATCAATATTGTACCATGAGTACTCTTATATAAAACAAAACACTTTTTCCTAAGAACTAAAGGGTATATTTGGAAAAATGAGTTACTAACTATCACATGAAGTAAAGTTTCTAGTGCAATGAAATTTTATTGTAACACTTATTTATTTATTTAAATTATATAATATTTATAAATTACCTTGTATTATTTTTTCAAAGTGTCATTTTCTTAGAGCATGCCATATCAAAAAGAGGTTAGAGACTCAATTTCTATGCCCCTTTCGGATAGAACAAAGAAATCTATAAAATAAACAACAATTTCTTATTTTTCAGTTCTTTGCGGCTTAATTACAATAATGCCTCTATGTTTATGATTTATTGACTTATGTAAGTTGAAATTACAAGCAAATATATGGCTAAAATTGGAATTTTATTCGATTAGTTTATGTTACACCAACTGGCTCCTGTTCATGAAAAGTAATGTAAGAACTACTTGCCAAACTTTTCCTAAAACCATGTTGTTTAATTAATAAAAGAAAACTTGTATTTCACACTTGTCTGGTTAGCATGAACGTTGAGAAAACTTGTGTACCTAATTTTAGTTTCATGGTCTTTTACACTAGACACAAGGGTAAGGTTGTGTTATCTTAAGACAGGCTCAAATCTCTCTTCTTGTAGCCTACTCCCTAAAGTGTAATGGACCATCCATATTTTATGCCAAACTCCATTAATAGAGTTCTTTTGTGGTCTCCAATTATAAATGTGGTTCTAATATATAGACGTGGCAACAAAATCTTTATTCGCGGCTTGACAAAGAAAATTTTATTTTGACTAGTGAAAACTAGAAAAATAGTGAGAGAAGAGAAGAGTTTGATATAATATTCATAGTAGAGTTACAATAGTTACACAAAAGAATATTTGTATACACAGCTTAACAGAACCGTTGGGTTTAACACTAACAAACTAAAATGCTAATCTAACGATAACGGTAAAACAATTTTGTTAAGAGATAACAATTAGACCAAGTAAGAGAGAAGCCGACCAAAAGTCACCATTAACTCTAATACATCCCTCAAACTGAAGGGCAGTAGTTTTGAGTCACAACCTTGAGTTTGCTTCAGAGATCCTGAAAAGCAAAAGTTTCCAATGACTTTGTCAAAGTATCTGCAATTTAGGCTGCAACATGGACATGTTTGATTAGCATTCTGCGAGCAACAATCCTTTCCTTGACAAAATGAATGTCAAGTTCTATGTGTTTGATTCTAGCATGGAGCATCGGGTTATGGGACAACAACATTGCGCTTAAGTTGTCACAAAGAAGGGTTGGTGTGTGAAAGGGAATATTAAGTTCAGATAAAAGAGATTCTAACCATAACAACTCCGAAGTTGAGTGAGCCAAAGCCCTATACTCAGCTTCAGTGCTCAAACACGCAACCAGAGACTGTTTCTTCGAGCTCTAGGAAACCAGATTTGGACCAAAATAAATGCAAGAGCCAGATGTTGATCTTTTGTCATCAGGGTCACTGGCCCAACCTGAATCACTATACGCACGTAAAGAGAACTTGGAAGCTGAAATCAAGGGAGATAATAGGAGGCCATGCTTAACTGCTCCACTCAAGTATTTGAGCAGTCTTTTTACTGCTTCCCAGTGAGTATTAAAGGGACATGTCATGAATTAACATGATTTGTTGACACTGAAGGCAATGTCAGGCCTGGTCAGTGTAACATATTGTAAGACACCAACAATAGACCTGTAATGTTGTGGATCAGAGAAAACATTGTCACCGTGCTTACTCAGTTTGCAGGTACTCAACATGGGTGTTGACACTCTATTAGCATTCTCCATCTTAGCTTTAGAGAGGATATCTTTGATATATTTTGGCTGAGATAGAATGAGTGAACCATTGGTAAGCCTGTTGACTTCAATACCTAGAAAGTAACTAGGTTTGCCGAGCTTCTTTAGAGCAAATGTAGTGTGCAATTTGTTGATTAAATCAGTATAAGTGGAGAGCTTGACCTAGTGATGAGGATATCATCTACATAGACCAAAATGTAAAGAGAAACACCTTGTTTGCAATACACAAAAAGAGAACTATCACACTTAGAGGTAGAAAATCCAAACTGCAAGATAGCCTAAGTTAATTTTTCATACTAAGCCCTTGGGGCTTGTTTTAGGCCATAGACTGCTTTGTTAAATTTGCAGACTAAATTTTTGTCAGCACACACAAAGTCAAGTGGTTGTGTCATATATACTTCATATTGTAAAGTACCATTCAAAAATGCATTGTTAACATCTATCTGTTGTATATCCCACTGGTAAGTAATAGCAAGAGTGAGAATAATTCGAATGGTTGTTGGTTTAACAATAGAACAGAAGGTTTCAGTAAAGTAAAAACCTAGTTCCTGGTGAAATCCTTTAGCAACCAATCTAGCTTTGTGTATATGAACACTCCCATCAACATTATGCTTAAGCTTAAAAACCCACCTACACCCTACATCTTTTTTGTCAAAAGGTAGAGTGGTTAAGGTCCCTGTTTTATTAGCTTGTAGAGCATGAAACTCATCTTGCATTGCCTTAGCCCAAGGAAGTTGAAGAAGAGCTTGTTTATATATGGTAGGTTCATAATCAGTTTGAGTAATGAACACTTTATATTTGGAATGACCAGTTTTAGCCCTGGTAAGCATATGATGGTTATTCTTTATAGGAGACTGAACTGACTCAGTAGTGTGAATGGAGGGAGAATTAGAAGAAGCAGAAATGGGAATGCAAGAGGAGATAGTAAGTTCATTAGATCAAAATGTGGGACTTATATTTTAAACACTTATAGAGTCTTTGTGAGGATTACTGTGATGGACATATCTTGTACTTGGAGAGCTGTTTGAGGCAGGTGATAGGTTCATATGACTAGGGCCCTTAGGGCTAGTAGCAGGACTAACAAATTTAATAGTATTTCCATATGGGCTATTGAGAGTATTATAGCAGTTTTCATCTTCATAATTTTCAAGATATTGACCAGTGTTATGTTCAAATAAATCAACAGTAGACTGATAAGTGCAAATTGTAGCTATTTTAGTATATACTTTTTGTTGCACTTATCGACTCTTTGTTGTTATCGTTGAATAAACCTGAATATTGTGTAAATATGTTTAGTTTCTGTTTATTTGTGTTTTTGTGTATATAGTGTACCATTTGATGTTTTCCCATTCATTTTATAGGTATTTGTTGCATTTTGCAACATTGATGAATAAGGTGTCGAAGGCACAGCTCTGGATGCACGTTTTAGGAATAAAAGAACAATTTTGAGAAGTTTTTTTCCAGGAGAGCCTGCTTAGCACGCAAAAGGCCGCTAAGCGCGAGTGCGCTCAGCATATTTTGTAGTGCGCTGTATGCGTTTTGACATTTTGGCATAAGCTTTTGAGCCTGCTTAACGCGGATAGCACGCTTAACACGGTTTAGGTCAGTTTAATATGTAAATATGGAACATCCCGCTTAGCGCGGTGAGCGCGCTAAGTGCGCTAAGCGCGGTGTGCGAGATTTGTTTTATAACTTCATTTTCAGTTTATTTTTTGTTATGGTTTTGGGGAAGTTTTTGCTCCCAACTCCATCAACCCTCATTTTTTGGTAGGTTAGCTTAGATAACAACTATGGAGCTTGCATACGGATGATCCGAGGTGGATTACTCTTCGATTGGTGCTGACAAACCGGTAGATCTATGGTTCATTTCTCTTTTTCTTTGTGTATTCTCTTTTGGTTGGGTTTGTATATGTATTTACTTTAATCTTATGTATATCTGTCACCCTTGGCGTTATATAAAATTTGCTTTACAAATCTTTGTCGATTGTTATCCTTGATTTTTGCTCTGTGCTAGGGATTTAAGTTGCTATAGACATATACTGCTTGGATTCATATCTAAGATGATTATGTAATAGTGTCTGAATTCTAGAGATATATTTAGCGTTGTTACTCACTTAGGGTTTCTGTGAGTAATGCCTCTGTGTTGTTTGTGTTGCTCTGAGAAATTATCAACGCAAGCGATCACGATTGACTTCTGTGTTGTTAAGGTTGGTTGAGAGATCGTTGTCGAGGTGATATATTGGGTGTTGTATTTAACACGTGATGACATCGATGAGTCTCGTAGGTTGAGTATGATAGGTCGATGGGTTTAAGTTTGTGAAGAGTGGGTTATTGTGCATGCTTGATAAGTCTTTTCTCCTGAGAATGAATTCTTTTTCTGTTGATACCTTTTAATTCCCGCATTTCCTTTCAACCCATTTATCCCCAAAACTCATTAACGAGAGATTTTTTGAATGACATTTCAATACACCAATATTTATGGACACAATACTATATAACCTATATCACCCGATAAAAATAATACTTTACTTTTTTCTTGCCTCTTTACCGCTTCCAGCAAAATGGCGCTGCTGCCTGGGATTGATTTTATTGTTTCACATCGCGATAATTCTTTTGTTTTTGAGTTTTGTAATTAATGTATATTTTGTATAGAAATTGTACATGAATTTATATATGATTATCATATTTGTGTATTATACATGTTTTACATACTTGTGCATATATGTGTTTTTCTTTGTTTTCACATATTGTTGTGAATTGTCTCGTTTTCATAACGTTTATTGTGTGCTTATGACACTTTCTTTAGG